CCATGAGGACGGAGGGAAAAGGTGGCCATTTGGAAGCCAGAAAGAGAAACCTCACCCGCAAGTAACCTTGCTGGGACTTGCAGCTTCCATGTCTGTAAGAAAATGCATTGGTGTTGTCTCTCTACTTTGTCATAGCCCCCCAAGATTACTAAAAAAGATGGCATTGTCACATCATCACTGGAAACTTTAAGTCAGTGATTCATTTTATTTATTTTTTATTTTTTGGTGGTGGTGCTGGTGCTGGAGATCAAACCCAAGAACTCACACTTGCTGGATGAGTTTTCTACCATCATCCCACATCCCCAGTCTAAATTACTAGGGATTGGGATTGCGAGATGGAGTTTTTCCACTTTTCACGTTCCTTTCATGTTCTTTCTTTCTTTCAAAACAGATAGGTCTGGTTTCACAGGGCTGGAGACTGGGAAGCCCCGGATTGAGAACTGACGAGGCAGATTTTGCTATTCACCCTCCTCTCGCAGCCTAGAGGCTGCCACTCTCTTGCTGCATGGACCCACCGAACCCACTTTCTCTCCAAAGAACTTCCCCTCATCAACTAGGAATGGGCCACAGTGCTGCCTAAGAAGCAGAATATATGCTTAATTCCCTAGGAGAAGCTTTTTGATATTTTTCCTTTGGAAATGGGATTCTGGAATGTGTTTTCTCCTAAGAGGAAAAGACTATGAGGGAGAGAGATGGGTGGCACAGGGGAGCAGGCAGTGGAAGGTGTGAAGTCCTAAAAGGTGAGAGACTGGGGGGGAAGGATGAAAGGAGGGAGTCGAGGGCCGAAGAAGTAAAGCTGTGCGCTGGTCATCTGGGCCCAGACACAGAGCCCATTTACTGAGAAACCCAACAGAAGCCGACCGGGCCTGGTTAGTATTCTGCAGAGGCTGGGAGTCATGGGCCTGTGTGCACTGCAAGCAGCTTTCCCTTACTCCCTCAGAGAAGGATTCCTTCTTGGATTCCTGCAGGCCTGGGCTTTCCCAGAAAACACACTGGGACAGGGTAGGGTAGGGCCTTTACAAAAATGTGAGGACTAACGAGAGAATCCAGGCTAGTTTGAAAGCAGGAGAGAGATGACTAGATGGGAACTGGGCTCGCTTTGTTTGTTTGCTTGCTTGAGACAAGATCTTGCTAAGTAGTTGAGGCTGGTGCTGAAGTCACTATGTAGCCTGGGCCGACCTTGAATTCACAGCAATCCTCCTTCCTCGGCCTCTTCAGTGCTGGGATTACAGGCATGCCCTATCATACTTGGCTTTGTTTTTGGTTTTGGTACTAGTTTTGGGCATTGTTTGAAAGAAGCACGTGAGCACAGGCTCTGGGAGGAAAAAAGATGGGTCAGAGCAGTTGCAATAGGCCCCTGTCATTGCCTCTTGCCCCTGTGATTAACCCTGTGCCACATAAGGCTGGACGTGCTTCCTGTCTGAACACCAGCCGTCACTGACTAGTGACTCAAAGGTTTGAGGGTTTTTTTGTTTTGTCTTTTTGAGACAGAGTCTCACTGTGCAGTTCAGGCTGGACTTGAGCTCCCTTTGTAGCCTAGGCTAGTCTCAAATTCACAATGATCCTCCTGCCTCAGCCTCCTGAGTGCTGGGATAAAGGTTTGAGGTTGATCAGATGCATAAGTGAATTAATGAATGACAGCAAATACTTCACTGAACGCAGTGGTGCACACCTGTGACCCCAGCTATTCACGAGGCTGAAGCAGGAGAATCATGAACTTAAGGCGAGCCTGGGTAACTTAACAAGACACTACCTTTAATTTTTTTTTTTTTTTTTTTTTGTCTTTTTCATTTTTATCGGTACCGGGGATCGAACTCACAACCGCCTGCTTGCAAGGCAGGTGCTTATGCCGCTGAGCTAAACCCCCAGCCCCTAATTTTTAAAAGGGGCTAGTAGGGGCTGGGGATTTAGCTCAGCAGCATAAGCGCCTGCCTTACAAACAGGCAGTCGTGAGTTCAATCCCTGGTACCGATAAAAATGAAAAAGACCAAAAAAATAAAAAAAATAAAAGGGGCTAGTGATATATCCCAGTACAAGTGTTGGCCTAGCATGTGTGAAGGCCTGGATTTGATCCCCAGTACAATAAATAAATAGACAAATAAATATATAAATAAAGCAAACACTTATATGACATTTACTATGGCAAGGACTACCCTAAGGGCTCACTGATTCCTCCTAAGACTTCTTTAAAATGAAGTCTATTATTCCCATTTTACAGATGAGTCAGTTGAGGTACAAAAACAGAAGAAAAGGTCATGAAGCTAGGAAGATACAGAGTTGCTTTAAAACCAGGCAATCTGGGCCCCAAATCTATGTTCCTAACCGCAGTGATTCTGAATGGATAAATGACAACTTAAGAATTCACAAGTCCCTGTCCTAAGTGGTGACTCCCGAGATCAGAGCGCTGATCTCATCAAGACAGTGAACAATGAGGAGAGAAACATGTAATTACAGACTATGGTGCCTGTGAAGAGAAAAACCTGAGTGCCAAGGGCAGGAATGGGGGCCGTCTTCCATGAGGCGGCCTGGAAGGTTTCCCTAGGGAGATGGCGCCTCAGGTGAAGGAGGGAACAGAGCCAGGAATGTGACAGCAAGGAGAAGAGCGTCCTGTGAAGAGGGGACAGTACACAAGAAGGCCAGGAGGCAAAACCAGACAAGGGGTTCCCGTGTGGCAAAAGAGGACGATGGTCCAAGATGGGACTAGAAGTGGCAGAGGCCAGACACACAGGACCTGGGAGACCACGACAAGGCCTTTGGATTTTATGGTTCCTTATAAATATTGTGCTGTATTATTTTTTCAAGTGAAATGAAAAGCAAGCATTAGGAGAATACAAACAAGGGGTAATATAATCTAGTGTGTGTTTAATAAGCAGACATGCACCTCTATACTCCCAGCAGTCTAGCTGGCTGGAGCAGGAAGACAGTAAGTTCAAGCCCAGCCTTGGCAATTAGCAATTTAGGGAGACCCTGTCTGGAAATGAAAAGGATTAAGAGATGTAGCTCAGGGCAAAGGACCTGCAGGAACAGGGAAAAAAAAAAGCAATTTTGTTCTTACATTCATTTGATTATTTGATTATTCACTGATTCTTGAATTCTTCCACTTATTCTTACACTCAATTTGTTTTTCCATTGGGTTTTTATTTGTTCATTTGTTGTCTTAGTTACTTTCCTTGTCACTGGGACAAAATACTTGCCATCCACAAATTACAGGAGAAGAGGTTTATTTGACTCACATTTCAGTCCATGGTCTGCTGGCTCCACAGCAGGGCAGAGGTGCACAGTGGGGGAAGAGCTGCTCCTTTTATGATAGCCAGAAGCAGGGAGAACAAGGAGGCAGCCATACCCTTCTCGGTCACACTCAGGTGACCTGCTTCTTCCCACCGGGCCCCACCCACAAACAAAGTGGCTGACAACCTCCACAGTCCTATCACCGTCCACAAGCTGTGCCCACACATGGGGGGAGACATTCTAGTTAATTCTCGATTCTTGCCTCCTGAGCCATAGTTTATTTTTTAGGCACTATCTCTCTAAATTGCCTAGGTTGGGTTTGCATTGACAATCATCCTGTTTCAGCCTCCCAGAATGTCAGAACTACAAGCATGTGCCGCCACAGAGGCTGATTCACACATTCCTGTACCCAGAGAGCCTGCTATTATATGCCAGGCCCAGGGTGGGCACCGGAAGCATGGACAAAAGCCAGAAACAGACCTTGCCCTTGAAGAAAACACTTCTCATGCTTGTCCCCGGGAGTCAGGGGGACCCCAGGTTGGTAGAAGTGGGGTGGCCATAGAGGAAGGCCTCTTGAGGAGATGCCTGTGAATCCAACCTTGAAGGGTGACTGGGCAAGCCTGATAGATTGGAGGAACCCCAAGAGCAGGGACAAGTCTCTTTCATCTCTGTGCTCCCCAGGGCTGGCACCTGACTGGCAATGATAAATGTTTGTCTGTTAATTGAATGTGTGGACCAGCGGCCAGTCAGAGAGCTGCTCAGCAACAGCGGAGGTCACGATGAGGCCACCTTCCAAAGTCCCTGCACCTCTGCTGCTGCTTCTGTCCCTCTCCTCATCCTGCCTCTTGTTTTCCTCAGACAGTAGCATTCTCATCTGCATCCCTTCACTCTGTCCCACCACAGTTGCTCTGGGACACACCTGAGACTCTGGTGCACACACATACCCACACACGTCTCTACACACCCCTGCCTAGGTACAGAAACACCCCTGCCTACAGAATGTGCCCCAGCTGTTGATTCCACCACCAAGGCCATCAGTGTCATTGCCTGCAATCAGCTGTCCCCCACTTTGATGTTTATACACCTGCCGGTCTCCCCACTGCATCTCAACACACACACACCCCCCTGCACCACCCAATCCTCCCACACATTCCTCTTCCTCCCTAGAAGAGGGAGTTTCCTGGTCTTTGGTTTAAAGCTAAAGAAGTAAAGGGGAGGGCCAAAATGGAACCCCAGGTCAGGTAGAGGTCAGGGATTCCTACTAGGAAACACTGAGATGTGGTAAAGGGTGAAACTCAGTTTTTCTAAAAGTTGGGTGTGTAGCTGTGACCTGAGGTCAAATTGCTCCAAAAAGCAGTTTCCTAAGGTCAGGGTCTCCCCCTGTCCCCACCTCAAATATTCCTGTCCACTCAGTGCCCAGCCACTGAGGAAAGGCAGGCGAGGATCCACGGTGGCGCTGGCGACAGCTGGCTGTGAGAACCTGGGTAAGACCAGGCCTGTTCTGGGTAAGACCTCGGTTTCCCCAGCTGGCAAGGGGCGGGGTGATGGGCTGCACAGTGATAGAGGAAGCCCATCCTCACCTCCGCTGCGGCTGTTCTAAAATGAGCAGGTGCTTCTAGGGCGAGGAGCCCGCCCCTTCGAGGGGCTGGGGGAAGGGGCTGGGGCGCAGGAGAGGAGTGGGGAGAGCAGAACCCCGGGAGGGCGGGAAGTGGGGGCGGGCGGGCCTGGGATCTGGGGGCCCCTCCCTGCTGCGGGCAGCTGGCTTGGGGCTGGGGCGTGACTGCGAACTCTCCCGCCGCCGCCACCGCAAGAAGAGAAGTCCGAGGCGGCTTCCTTCTCCCTGCCCTGAGGGGGTGGCAGGCAGAGGTAGACAGCACCCCAGTTCTCCCCACGTCGTCCGCACTTGTGGCTGCGGGGAGCCCGCATTCACTCGCCCCAGCTCGGCCAGAAACGAGCTCCCCTCGGACCAGGTAGGTGCCGGGGCAGGTGGGGCTGGGAGGGCAGAGGGCACTCGCCCTGGCCAGCCGGGGAGCAGGCTTGAACTTAGGGGGACCCGAGGAAGGTTACAGCCAGGGGACCCCATCCAGAGGGGCTAGGGAGGAAAACGGAGGAGACCTGGCAAGTGAGACTGATTAAAGTTGGAAAGAAGGCTGAGAGTACATGGGACAAGCAGTCTAAAAGGACCCCGAAAGGTCTGATGGGGAAACTGAGGGAACTCCAGAATGAGACTGGGAGAATTGAGAAGGGGCTTGAGAGTCGAGAGAAAGGACTGTCGGGTCCTCCAAAGAGATCTGGGGGAGAAGTAGGTTGGGGGGACCTGAGAGGAGAAATGGAGAGAAGCTGAGGGGCTTGGCAGAGGGGGTAGGCAGGGGTGCTGAGGCCATCAGGTGTGGGGGTTTGCAGAAAGGGGGTCTTGAGGGGTGGGGCACAATTCCAGGGGTCTGCAGAGTCTCCCTATCCCAAATGGGCAGATGCTCGGCGCCAGCAGGGTAGAGGAGGCAGCGGCCCCTGCCCCCCAGACCTCCCAGCCCCTGCAATGGTGGGCGAGCTCCCGACGCCGGGAGACTCCTTCCAGGGGCTGGAGGCGTGGGTCCCAGCTTCCTAGGGAAGTCCCCGCCCTCAGCAGGGATGGCCCTCCCTGGGTCCCCCTCCCGTCCGCCTGCGGTGGCAAGGTCTTGTCCAATGTCCCCTCGGGATCCGGGAATTGCTGGCTGCCCAGACGGAAATCCTGCCTTTGACCGCGAATGCCTGGAGGGGACGTCTCCATGGCAACGTGAGGGCGGAGAGGACAGCCCTGCTGGGTCACTAAGTAGTGCTGGCCGCCCACTTTGGTCCCCGCCTTTGCCCCCATTCTGGGTCTGGGGGATGCCATACCCAACGGGGCAAGGAACCAGTTAGCAGAGACAGTGATATTCAGTTCAGGGATTTTGGGGGAGAGGACCTGCAATCTCAGAGACCTGGATCCCTAGCAAAACTGGTCCCTAAATTGCTGTGTGACTGCAGGGAAGCTTCTTTTGGTCCGTTGAAATTACCCCCCAACATGTGAATCACTACAGAGAGCAGTTTCACAGAAAGAGTTAAGGTTTATCACTAATTCAGCAAATCTGTCCTTCACCTTCTCAAAACATGGCGGAATGAGGACCAGGAAGACTGGATCTCACTGATAGGGCCTCCAAGGACCAGTGCAAAGTTGGCATCTATCAAGGAAATGTCTGTTGAGGCTCCTTCCTGGGGAGATAAACAGGATTGAGATGTGTCCTCCATCGATCGCCATGGTGCCACCCTTGGTTGGTCACCCTTGAGGCATGTAGTCTCTCAGGAACCTGGGAGCCTTCAGCATCCTTCCATTGCAGCAGAAATGGGAGAGCGATGTTTTGTTCCCATATCACAGATGGGAAGGTAGAGGTTTTGGGGTCAGCGGCTCAGGCCCTCAATCCGGGCCTCTCATCTTGATGTGGCAAAGGAGTTAGCCCAAAGCAGAGGCCTGAGTCCCCAGCTCATCATTGCCCAAGCTCAGGTGGCCCTCAGTAGAGGTTGGTGAGGAGGAATGGGTGGGCTTCTGGGGCCTCCCAGCCAGCTTCTGCTCCCCAGAGGGCCGAGGGTGTGAAGCTGTGAATGAGGGTGTGAGAGTGTTTGTGAGTTCTGTTCAGACTTGAGTGAATGAGGGGAGCCTGTGACCGTATGTGTGGGTGTCCCAGTGTCCTCTGCAGTCTCTTGGGGCTGATGCAGTAAAGGAAATGGCTAGACCTTTGCAGCCTGTGTAGAAATACCCCCAGAACTGGGGAAGCAAAGAGTAGCCAAAGCTCTTTCCACACCAAGTGGACTGGATGGAGGGACTTGAGGTGGGAGAAAGCAAGATGTCCCCCACCCCATCTTCAAGCTCTTGCAACACTGAAGACTATCCCCTCTGCTCCTTGTGGTTCATTCATGTTCTTAGCCTCACCCCGGGCCAGGTACACATAAAGACCTCTGGTTTAGAGGCAAGCAGGTAGCTTTCAGCAATGGCTAGAAAACCACCTTTTTATTCAGATGCTCCGAACTGTTGCCCTCAGGACCACGTGGAAGGTAGAGCTAGTGGGCCACAGAGGGATCTGGCTCCGGCTCTCACACACCTTCCTTTGGCTTCCCCAGGGCCATCAGAGTCCGGTAAGGCTTGGCCTAGCCCAGGTGTCCAGGGTGGGGTGGATCTTGAGGCTTCAAGAACCTGAGAACAGGGCTACTGAGAGGTGCAGTCTCAGGGAGGAACATGAGGCTCAGTGACAGGACTGTGGGTGAGGAATGGGGGCAGGATATGAGAACCCAGGCCAGCCACTGCCCAACACTGAGCTCTGGGGGCGAAGCCGGAACTCTTGTATGATGGTGGTTTCCTGCTCTGCCTCAAGTCCCAGTTCCTTTTTGGTGAAATCCCCGGGCCTCCCTGGCAGGCCTGGCTCTCTACCTAGCCTGGGAACTTCTCTTTCTTCTCTGCTGTAGCCAACCCGGCACCCCTGCTCCCCTCAAGGCCCCGTTAGGGCCTTCCTCAAAGGGAAAGGAGGGAAGCGAAGGTTTACTGAGCACCTACTGTGTGCCTGTATGTGTTTTCTGGGCCTTTAATTCGGTGCTCAGGAACAATTTCATGTGCTGGACATCTGTGTTCTTTTTTTTTTTTTTTCCCTTCAGTACTGAGGATTGAACCAGAGTCTTCACACTGAACAACATCTCCAGCTCTTTATATTTTCTTTCTTTCTTTTTCTTTTCTTTTGTTTTCTTTCTAATTTTGAAAGAGTCTCACTGAGCACTGAGCTGCCTGGCCTGGGCTTTAACTTGCTCCTGCCTCAGCCTCCCAGAGTGTTGGGGTTACAGGTATGCACCACCACACCTGGCTCTTGTATTCCTATTTTATAGGCAAAGAAATTGCAGCTCAGAGAGATGTCCTGCCTAGTGTCTCAAGCTAGTTGTCAGTGGGGGTAGAATTTAAGCCTAAATCTGTCTCCAGGTCCTCAGATGTTTGACAGGGTTTAGACAGTGCAGGACATACTGTGTCCACATCAGAACCTTGACATGGCTTTAGGAAGTGAGATTATCAAGTAAAGAAGGGTGGGCCAGGCACTGTGATATACACTTGTAATTCCAGCTTCTCAAGAAGCAGGAAGATCACAAGTTCAAGACCAGCCTGAACAAGTTAGGGACACCATGTTTCAAAATAAAATTTAAAAGGGTGGGGATGTAGCTCATGGGCTCAATCCCTGGCAACCTCCCCCCAAAAAAGAAAGAAAGAAGAAAAGAAATTAAACAAAATGAAAAGAGAAAAAAGAAAGAAAAGCTGTGTGGGCCTGGGGCTCTTGTGTCCGGGAGTAGGGTTGGGTGTGAGACAGGTGCCCGGCCAGGTCGCCAGCTGCCATATAAGAGCAGTGAGATTGACATTTACCAGTCAGATGCAGCATGATCCTCCTCAGCTGCAGAGAGCACAGACAATGCCAGGAACAGAACTCTGCATCCAAATTAATAGTCCTATCATTGAACCTCCTGCCTAGCTGTGTGATGATGGGCAAGTCACCCCTTCACACACACACACACACACACACACACACACACACACACACACACACGAGGCAGATGGACTGATAAATGTCCCTGGGGCCGTGCTACTGTGCGGCATGAGGTTCTCAGCCTCACTCAGTCACTGCATACCGACTAAGCACCTCATCCTATCAAGCCCTCCCAGCTATTTTGCACAGGAGATGCAGACAAGGCACTCACCCACAACACTCCTGAAGAATTGAGCTGGAAGGCCGGGTGTGGTGGTGCATGCCTGTAATCCCAGCACTCAGAAAGCTGAGGCAGGAGGATTGCTGTGAGTTGGAGGCCAGTCTAAGCTACAAATTGAGTTCAAGGCTAGTCTGAACTGCATAGTGAAGCCCTGTCTCGAAAAGACACACACACACACACACACACACACACACGAACCAAGCTGGGCAGGGCTGCACAAGAGTAGCTGCTGGAGAGGAGGAACATTGTGGCCCAGAGCTGGAGCTCAGCTACACCAGCTACACACCCATAATCTAATTTTGACCCTAATGGGACTCTGGGAGCTGAATTCTGTCAGCCAGATGTTCAAGAGACATATTCAGAGCTAAGAGTGTGGCTAAGTGATAGAGTATGTGCACAGCATGCCCAAAGGGCAAGTTCAGTCCCCAGAACTAAAGCAGAGGGGGAGAGAAAGAGACGTATTCACAAACTGAGTCAAGCCCCTGCAGTGCCCAGAATGCTCCTGGTCACTCTTAAGTTGCCCTCTTCCTGGTGTTAGCAGCCAGCCTTTGGAAGCAGTTCAGTGCTTCCAAAAAAAAAAGACTACTTTCTCTTCCCAGGCCATAACTAGGATTTAGAGCACAAAGCATAGGGCCTGGAATGCAGTGGGCACTCATAAAGGGGCATGTATTATTGCTTTTACCAGGACTACCAAATAGAGGAGTGGTTAAGGTGATTTTAGGAGCCAAACTGATTGGCATTGTTTTTTAGCTTTTTTGACTCAAAACGTAATTTTGGGCAGGTGCCTTGGGTAACATGTTTGTGTCTCAGGTATTCGTATCTGTAAAAGAAGGGTTAAAAATAAAACCTACTTTGGGCTAGAGATGTAGCTTAGTGACAGAACACTTGGATAACATGTGCAGGCCCCTGGGTTCAATCATAAGCAATGCAAAGGAAAAAAAAAAAAACCCTACCTCATAAGGTCACAAAATGAGATCATGCATAGGAATTGTTTGGCACGGTGCCAGCCATTGCATAAATGTTTAATAAATTAGCACAGTTTTACTAATAGCTATTGCCACTCAGACTTCTAGGAAGTCCACTTACTCCCCTTAGAATTGTAGGCACGCGGTTGGGATCAGATGCCTAAGCAGAGAGGACCCAGCCTGTGGCCACCACCTTCCCTTTGTTTTCCCTTGGTCTGCTTAGTTCTCTACCTCTCGCTCTTTTTTTCTCTCTGCCTTTCCCTTTTTCTGTTTCTGTCTTTCTGTTGCTCTTCCTCTTTCCCTTGGGCTTCTGTCTCCATTTGTCTCTTTGTCTTTCTGGAAATGATGGGCTGAAGCCAGCTGGCACTGGCTAGGGGGAGCTGATTCCGTGCATCCCCTCCTGGCCCGTCCTTCAGGAAGTCACTTTGGTAGCTTTAAATCAGCCATGGTGGAGCTATTTACAGAAATCAACAAATGTTACAAAACAGGGCTTGGTATTTTGTTTTTCTGAAAGTCAGTTTACCAGCACACCACACTGTTTCTCTTTGTCTTTGTCTTCTTCTGTCTCTCGGTCCTTAGGTTTCTCTGCATTTCTCTGTCTGTTTGTCTGTCTGTCAGTCTCTGCCTCTGTGTGTGTCTCCCTCTCTCTTTTGCTGTCTCGTTCCAGTCTTGTTTCCTCAGAAGAAACCACAGGAGCATGGTCACATGCAGTGTGGCACCTCAGTGCCTTGGGCCATGCAGATGACAGATTCAGTGTTCCACATCCCCTGAGTCCCTCAGCATACCGGTCCCAGAGGCCAGGCCCAGCTGAGGCCTTGGTGCTCTCCAGCCTGGGGTAATAAAACCCTGACATCAGCCCACCTCTGCCTGCTGGCCACAGCCTGCTGGCTGTCAGCCCTGTTAAAGGAACCCTGAACCATACCAGGCATGCAGAATCTGGGGCTCCCCTTGGGCTGACACAGATGCATTGTGGCAGTGTGTGCTTGGGTATTATTGGAGGTGGCAACATTGTTCCTATGTGTGGATCCCAAAGTTGCATAAATTCCTGTCCTCCTCAGAGGAGCTCTGTGCCAAGCTGTGTCTCAAGGGGAGGGCTATGTATATCCGTGTGTCCCCGGGGGGCTCTGCATTTGCTTGTGCTTTTGGGACTGGCTGCAACTGTCTTTGTCTGACAGGCGATGGAGAGATGCCTGGCGATGGTTGGGCGCTCAGGTCTAAGAGTTAAAAGCAGGAGATAACACCCACGTGACCCTGGACAACTTTCTCAGCCTCTCTGTGCCTCAGTTACTTCATCTATAATAATACTTAACATCATAGGGTTGTGAGGGTAAAATGAGGTGGGTGGGTAAAATGTTCAATGCAGTGGCAGGCACGTAGTACATGCTATAAACTTTGCTCTGTGTGTGTGTGTGTGTGTGTGTGTGTGTGTGTGTGTGTGTGTATGGAGGGACGAGGGCTGGAGCTTTGTGTGTGAACTAGCAGATGTGTCTGGAAGCCAGCAGAAGAGCTTGGAGTCTGAATGTTCTGCTGTGGGCAGCAGAACCAACGTGTGTACTTGACAACATGTCTGAGGCCTGCGTGGGTCTAGGTGTGAGCTCGATGCACCGTCTGAGGCGTGTGTTCCTCTTCCGCTGAGAAGATCTTCATTCTCACCCTGTAACCTTTGGTTTCGTATTACTCTGTCTTTTACTTTCCTGAAACTTCAGCTTGGCCCTGGACATCCCCTCTTTGTTCTCCCTGCCTTGCCCCTCATCAACCTGCAGCATTCTGGGGGACATCCCACCCAGCGGCCTTACCTGGAGACAAAGGCTCCTTACCCAGGACAAAGGCTTCAGTGAGGGCCTTGTGAACAGGGGCTATTTCATGGCAGGCCTCTCACAGTTTGCCGCATGGGTGTCACCCTGTCCATCACAGGAGACACAGGGTCATCGATGGGTGAGAGGTAGGTGGGGCTGGGCTATAGGTCAGAGCACTGATAGGACAGAACCATTTACTGGCAACAGGACCTGCTGGGTCCAGGAAAGCTTCCCAGAAGAGATAAGTGGTCTAAGTAGGAAGGGCAGGACCTAGAGAAAGAGGAAGAGGATATTGAGAAGGGAAAATGGACTGGGGCCAAAAAGGCAATTGGAGGGCCCTATCCCTAGGATCTTCAGAACCCTCTAGGGGAATTCAGATTCATCAGGTTGGCCCCACCCTACAGCGTCTTAGGAAACCAAGTCTCGTCCCCAGGAAGTTCCTCTCTGTGTGTTGCAATGGCAAGAGTTTCTGGCTGGGGGAGGGTGGGGACCCCTTGCTCAATGACTTGCCTGCTGTGTTGCTCAGTGGACACAGATGTCAGTGAAGGCTCAGCTTAATCGGGGAGGTACCAAAGACCTTGTTGGTCCCAGCTTCTGACCTAGGTCTTTCTTTTCCTGGTGTGGGGATGGAGGGGAGCTCTGGAGGCTGCTGTCCACTTTCATTCTGGCACCAGAGGAGACCCAGGCTCTGCAGGGCATGCCCACCCAGACTCGGAGCAGAGATGGGGTTCCAGGGGAGCATTTGGTTTTAGGAGGCAGGAACTGGGACCTGAGCAATGAGGGAGCTGAGCAGATCTTGAGAGAAATCCAGGTCGATAAAGTTGAGTCTAAATTCAAAACTGTACATGTCTGACTATACAAGTATGCTAAATTGAGAGGCAGTCTTACGTACGTATCTACGGATTTTTTTTTCTTTCTGATACTGAGGACTGAACCCCAGGGCCTTTACACTAAGCTACATCCTTAGCCCTTTTTAAATTTTTTACTTTGAGACAAGGTCTGGTTATGTCGCTATATTACCTAGACGGAACTCAAATTTGCAATCTTCCTGCCCAAGCCTCCCAAAGTACTAGAATTGGAATTGGAGGTGTGCACCATCACCCTTGACTGGGCTCCTCTTGCATTTTTTTTTTGTACTAGGAATTAAAACTCATGACCTTGCACTTACCAAGCAGGTACTTGTGCTTCTGAAATATATATATATATATTTTTTTTTTTTGGGGGGGGGGGACAGGGTCTCACTATATTGCCCAAGCTGGTGTGGAACTCCCAAGTGATCCTCTTGCCTCAGCCTCACAATTGCTGGGACCACAGCCGGCGTGTGCCACAGCACCTTGCCTGTGTTACTATTATGCATCAGAGCTTGGGCTCACTGCAGAGCTGTGCTGGTGGTGGCAAGCGTATTCATCCAAGCAAATGGTGGGACTGTTGTGTGCCTGTGTGCTGTGTGAGTGTGTGTCACATGTGTGTGCGAGGATGAGGGAGCTGGTGTGGGTGGCGTGTCCTTTGAGAGAGTAGATGAGTGAGTGTGCCAGGGGCAGTAGGAAGGAAAATGAAGGCAGAAGTTGTGCTGGGGCAGAGCCCAGGCCTTCTGGCTTCCTGAAGAGGGCGGGAGCCAGGCAGCTGGCTGGCAGGAACACTGGCAGGGCCTTCATCTTTCATGTCCTTCTGTCTCACCCTCAGGTCTCCTGCCCCTCCCAAGGACCATGCTGAAGCCCTGCTGACACAGGAGTAGGGGCCTGAGGGGTGAGTGGGGGCTGGGGAGTCCTAAGGCTTTCAGGGTCAGGAAACAGAGTGGGGGTGGCCTTCCTGGGCCCCACAGTGCCTAGCAGCCCCCTCCTCCTGCCAGGGCCCTGTTGCTAGGTAACAGATGGGGGAGCCAGAATGAGGCAGCTTGAGAGGCCAGAGGCTGGACCCACAACAGGAAATGGCCTTGATCCCCCTCTGCGGGGAATCTCCAGGTGCAGGCAGAGTGTACAAGAGCACACATGCACACACACACACACACACACACTTAGAAGCGTGCACACACAGAGGGTCATGTACATATGCACAGACTCATACATGTTCACCGAGATCAGGCACAAATGCTTCCACACAGAGCTACATATACAGGCATAGCCACATAGACCAGAGACATCTACTCATATAGACCTGTGTGCACAGAGGGACGTCCACAGACACACTCTAACAGAAACACACATGCACACTCATAAAGGTATGTACACACATAACCAAATACATATGCAGCAAGTTATATCAACCTGCACACATACATTTATGAAGAACTGAACATGCACACGCACACAAACAAACATACTTAGAGACGCATGAAGACTCACATGCACAAGAATCCTAAAGGAGTCACAGAAATACAACACATCAAAGCAGTGGGAGCAAAACATATATAAATCAACATAGTGACATCCTGATGTAGAAAACTAGCCCCAGAAATCTGAGTGTGGTGGCACACATCCTTGGGAAACTGAGGCAGAAGGATTGTGAGTTCCAGGCCAATGTAACATAACAATACCCTGTCTCAAAAAAAAAAAGCCAGCCAGGCACCTACCTGTAATCCCAGAACTCAGGAGGCTGAGGCAAGAGAATTACCAGGAATTTTTGGCAAGCCTGGGTTACATAGTGAGACTCTAAAAGGAAGACAAAGAGGTGAAGGAGGAGAAAAAAGAAGGAAAAGACAAATAAGAGGGAGGAGAAGTTGGAGAAGAACAAGACAAGAGAGGTGGCAAGTGCAAGGTCATGAGTTTGATGCCTGGTACTCCCTCCCCCCAAGAAAAGATAGGAGAAGATAAGTGAAGAAAGGAAAGCCAGCCCCAGAGATGTAGACAGAGAAGAAGACAAGACAGGAGGACACATACTCTCTACAAACATGCAACAGAGGCAGCTGAGAGATAAAGCAAAGGGTGGCCTTGCCCACCTTTGTCCCTCACTAGGGAAGACCTCCCTCCAGGCCCTCACCCGTCCACCCACACCACTTTTACACTCACCCCCCCCACACCAACACACATGTGTATCCATGCGTGTGCATTCGTGTGTGTGTGTGCACATACTTGTGCATTGGTGGGTGCACCTGGCAGGGCTCCCGAGTGAGGCCTGTCCCCATTCTACAGCAGGGTGCCTGGCATGGGCTGTGTGTTCTGCAAGAAGTTGGAGCCAGGGCCCAAGGAGGATGTTGACCTGGAAGAGAAATTCAGGAGCCATGGGGCTGCAGACCGCTACGGCCCTGACCCCACTCGGTCCTGGCCTGCATCCTCCTTTGCCCAGATCCCCAACTACAACAACTTCTCCGCTCAGCCCGCCAGCCCCGCCTTCCTCGATGCTGGCACTATCAGGGGCATCACAGGTGAGTCCGGAGGGCTGGAACCAGGTGCCCCCTGGGTCCTGGAGGACACGGGGGAAGAGGAGAACTGGACTCAGCTCCAGAAGCCTCCAGACTGATACGGGAGACACAGCCTGCTTCTTGAACTCAGGCAGGCTGAGGGAGTGGGCACAGCCCTACTCTGGAACCCCAGTATGCTGAATGCTGAAAGGGGGGTGCTGATGATAGAGATGAGTGGTAAAGAGGATTCTTCAGGTGCCACTGCCCAAGTGGGAAGTCTTGGTGGGGAAGAGTTAGAGTGGGCAACCTGGGGACTTCCCAGGGGGAGAAAGGCATGAAGCTGTGTGTCCTGGACCTGTGGGGAGATCAGTCTGTGAGGCCCAAATCAGAAATCCACTGGACTCCAAATGTCTTTGGGCACCAGGGTGCTGCAGCAGTGGGGAGGCTCAGTGCCTGACTGGGAGTGCCACCCTTTTGTGCCCTATTTTGTGCCCTACTCTGCTGAGCAACCTTGACTCTGCAGGGACTGGGGTGACCTTGTTCATCGCCCTGTATGACTATGAGGCCCGGACAGAGGATGACCTTACCTTCACCAAGGGCGAGAAGTTCCACATCCTGAACAATACGTAAGTGACCAGGCCACCGAGCCCGGGGCATGGTCTTGAGCCAGGAGCAGGACTCAGAAAACAGTCCCATCTGGTCCCTATCTGCAGAAAGCTCCAGCCTAGTTGGCAAAAATCCTCAGTCAGGATGAGAGGTTTAGTTCCATGGTAGAGTGCTTAGCTGGCACCCATCCCCAGCACCTCAAAAAAAATAAATAAATAAAATAAAACAAGACTAAACGAAGCCAGCTATGGTGGCACATGCTTGTAATGCCAGCTCCTTGAAAATTCAAGGCCAGGCTGGGCAAGTTAGTGAGATTCTGTCTCAAAATTTAAAAAATAAAACAGAGGGAGGATAGGGAGATAGCTCAGGGGTAGAGCATTTACCTAGCATGTAGAGAGTCCTGGGTTCAATCCCCAGCACTGTCAAAAACAAAGGAAAGGGACTGGGGACATAGCTCCGTGGCACAGTGCCTACCTGGCAAGTGCAAGGTCATGAGTTTCATTCCCAGTACCAAAAAAAAAAAAAAAAAAAAAAAAAAAAAAACACCAAAACAAAAGAAAAATATCCTGGGTGGCTCATGTCTGTAATCCCAGCACTCAGGAGGCTGAGGCAATAGGATCACCATGAGTTTGAGGTCACCTGGGCTGCACAGTGAATTCAAGGCCAGCCTGAACTGCACAGTGAGACCTTGTCTCAAAAAAAAAAAAAAAAAAAAAAAAAGAGAGAGAGAGAGAGAGAAAAGTACCCTAGAGAATTGCCATTATGTGGGGGAAAAGGACGTGAGGAATTATGGGTAGAGAAAGAACAGCAAACATGGCGATCAAAGGTTTCCTGGAGAAGGTGGTTTTTAATCTGAGACAGAAAAATGAGTGGACAAAAAGGAAGAGATGTGAAAAAAGTGACAAGAGAATGAGAATAAATAATGCCTTCTAGAATCCACCAAGTGATTCAGTCTAGGTGGATCACAAAGAAGAAGATGCAGACCTAGGGGTGTAGCTCAATGGTACAGCACTTGCCTAGCATATGCAAGGCCCCGGAGTTGGTCCCCAGCACCAAAGGAGGGGAATGTGAACTGCAAAATGGAGGGAGTAGAAGCAGGAGAGGTGGAGGAGAGGTGGATGGGGATTCTGCACAGCTTTTTAAACCATGTTGAGGAGTCTGGATTTTATCCAGAAAAAAATATGTAGTTCTTGAGAGGTTTTCAGTGAAGAAGTGACCTAGTCAAGGCTCTGCTATATCTCTAAACCCCAGCTCAGCTGAGGAGCAAAAGGAAGCAGCCAGGAGGTCCAGATGTCCTCACATTAATTCCTTCTTCAAAGCAAAGCCCTCCTGGGGCAGCCACAGAGGCTGGGGGCTGAGCAAACAGAAGCCCCCTGCAGGCAATACCCAAGGTAAAGGGGCTGGCAGGGCCAGTCTCTAGGTCTCTAACTGATCCTCTGGATCCTCTGTGTGGCCCTGTGTGGCCCTGTGCGACCTCAGAGAGTCCCAGGGACTGGAGCTACCACTGACCACCCCCCTGTTCTGTGCCTACAGTGAAGGTGACTGGTGGGAAGCTCGGTCCCTCAGCTCTGGACAAACTGGCTATGTTCCCAGCAACTACGTGGCCCCTGTGGACTCCATCCAAGCTGAAGAGTGAGTGGGAAGCCGGACAAGGCCGGCCCTGTGGACAGGACCTTGGAGTCCAGACTCCGAGGCCATCTCTTAGACAAGTCATTGCTCTCTTCTGAGCCTGCCTCCTCAGCTAAAATTGTTAAAGGCAATTGTGGGGATCAAAGATAATAATGATAATAGCAATCCATAGTATTTACATAGCAGGTGCTAAGTTCCAGACACTCTACAAAGTGCTTTGTCTGTGTCAACAGAGTTAGAAACTATTATTGTGCTGTTTCGCAAATGAGGAAGCTGAGACACAGAGAAAGGAAATATCTCGCCTAAGTTCAGATGGTTGTAAGTGGCAGAGGAGGGTATGAACCCAGATTTTCTGGCTGCATTTGCTAGGCGTTGGACACCTCACCTCCCAGTGACAGCAACAATGGAAGAACTTTAAAAAACTGTAAAGTTGGGTCTGGAGGTGTAGCTCAGTAGAAGAACATTTGCCTGCCATGCCTGAGGCTCTCGGCACTATAAAACAAAACTGTAAAGTGGAAGTTGGGGATGTGGCTCAGGAGTAAAATATGTGCTTATGAGGTAAGATCAAACACTGCATTTAAATAAAATTTTATGTCAGTTAAAGACACATTGCAATTAATCCCCTTTAAAATACCACCCTGCTTCACACCCACCCCATTCTTCTTGCCACTTTCTGAAGCAGTTCGGGAAGTCTTTTGTGAGTGTCTTTTTGTGACTGCCTCTATGTCCTGAATTGATTCGAAACATTTACAGCAATTTTTGTCAAAGAAAAATACTATGGTGTGCACTCATCCATCTTATTCACTGGATCTGGCACCATGTGACTTTTGGCTCTTCCCCAGAGTCAAAATGACCATGAAAGACAAACATTTTGAATGGATTCAGGACACGGAGGCCAGTCATAACAGCATAACTAAAGACGCTCAGGACAGAGGACTTCCAAAAATGCTTCAGCAAGTGGCAAGAACAATGGGATAAGTGTGTTTGATGTGAAGAGTATTTTGAGGGAGATTAATGGCAATGAATCTTTCACTGTAATATATTTTTAAAATTTAAATATTTGCCGTATTCCGTGACCACGCCTTATGGTATACACAAGGTTAAATAATTGTAAAGAAACATTATTTAAAATTAATTCTATTACATGCTGGGTATGGTGACTCACGGCTGCAATCTCAGCACTCAAGAGGCTGAGGCAGGAGGATCGTTGCAAGTTTGAGACCAATCTGGGCTACAAAGTGAACTCAAGGCCAGCCTGAACTGCATAGCGAGACCCTGTCTCAAAAAACAACAAAAAAATGAATTCTATTACAAAACTAAGGAAGGGTTGGGGGTGCAGATCATAGCAGAGCACCAAAGAAAAAGGTAGAGAATTACCATTTACAGGGTACCTTTGAGACACTGTAACAGATACTTTACCTATTTTAATTCATTAACTCTCAATATACCATCATTGACATCATTGACATTATTAGTGTCCTTTTTTTTTACATATAAGGAGATTGAGGCTCATCAAAATCTTTTATGATCTATCCTTAGGATTGGGGATACAGCCAAGTGGTAGAGCCCTTGCTTAGCATGCACGGGGTCCTGGGTTTGATCCCCAGGACCTCAGAAAAAATAATCTATCCTCATTTGTGCTATATGCTTATGAGGAAACAAAAAGTGGAAAGGATTTTGTGCACTGGGAATCTCCAGGAGCTGGTGTCAATTTGCAGTGGAAAGAATCAAGGATGACTTGAAGTCTTGAGCTGACTGGGGATGGTACCAGCTGCTAAAATGGAGGACAGCTGGGGAAGAGGGAGGTACACAGACTCTGGGAGGGGGACTTGCTAGATTGAGAGGAACCCCTCGGTGGAGGAGGCTGCCTGCAATTAGATTAGATTGTACCCAATATGGAAGGTGCTCGGACTATGCCCAGTGCCCCTGCTTCCCATCTGCAGCCACGCTGCTGAATTAGCTGGGGAAGGGCTCATTTTCTTTTCTTTTTTTTTTTTTTGGCTTTTTCATTTTTATCAGTACCAGGGATCAAACTCACGACTGCCTGCTTGCAAGGCAGGCGCTTATGCCGCTGAGCTAAATCCCCAGCCCCAGGGCTGGAGAAAGGGATTGGCCCTATGGCCCTAGATTGAGGAAATCTGCCTTGAAGGAAAAGGAGCGCTGGGTAAATGAAAGAAACAAGGCCAGGGCAACACCAAAGAGCCAAGATGGTGAGAAGTTTCAGAAAACAGGAGCGGAAGTGTCAGGCAGGGGCTGCCACTGGATTCGGCGATGGGGGTGATCTTGATGCGAACGAGCGAGCTCACTCTGTGGAGTAGGGGCAGAGGCCAGAGAGCAGAGCCTGGGAGGGCGTGGGAGGTGAAGAAGTGGAGCCCCAAGTGTGAGGCACCATTTCAAGTGCAGCCAAGGTGAGAAGACAGAGCACAGTGGTGGCAGCAAGAAAGGACTTAGGACACTTGCCTTAAGGAAGGGATGAAATGTGCATTTGTGGGATCTGCTCATGTGCTGGGGCAGGGGTTTCCCTGACCAGAGGAAAGTGGGCCCAGGGCACAGGTGGCCTTAAGTCTGGGAAAATGGCAGGAGGCACAAAGGAAAAGAAGGTGATGGCGGAAGGGCTGGAGGTTTGGGGGTTCATGTTGTGTCCGCTCCTCGGGTGCAGGGTCAGGATGTCTGAGAGGTGCTCGGGGCAGTGTTGTGGTAAACAGCTCAGACAGCTCAGGTTCCTATTCTGGCATCTCACTGTAGCCTCAGGCAAGTCACTTAACCACTAGATAGCTCAATTTCCTCATCTGTCTAATGGGTGTTAATAATAGTACCTAGCTCTCCGCACTGACCTGAGAATTAAATGAATGCATGTTGTATAAAGCAGAGCCTGTCTTATTGCTTTTATTACATTGATTATTAAGGAAGAAGCTAATGTCATGAGTGTGGGTGGAGGCAAAGATTTGAAAAACCTTGGGACTGTGTCCTGTCTAGACAGCCCTTCGACAGTTTCTCCTTCCTCCTCCTCCGTACACCATTTGCCAATGTTTTCTTCTGTTTCCCACATTGTGCCTAGTACTCAGGTGTGGACTTGCCATCCCACAGTCCCCTGAGACTTCTGCAGCCCTGGATTTCAAAACTATGCTCCCTTTAAGTGAGCACTTGCTAATCGCAGGCCAGTTTAGTGATCGGGTGACATCTGAGTCTTCTATGGCACCTGTGATCGCTTCAACCCTCCCCTTGTATCAGGGTGATTAAAAAATGTAGTGAATGGCTAAATTAAAACTTTTATTACAGTAGAGACACATTGCCATTAATCCCCATCCAACTACTTCTTCTTGATTTGAATACACATCTCCTTGTTCTTGGCACTGTGTCTTTTACTGTAACATTTTTAAAAAATTAAACAGTCACCATATTTTTTGACCACCCCATGTACTTGCATAGTTCATACAGAGCTATAATTCAATCCCAGAAAGAATCCCCAGGAGAAAGGAAAATGAAAAAAAAGCCCAAGGTTAAATTTGAGACTTAGGACAACATCCTCGATTTAAGAGAGAAGACAAAGTAATACTCAGCTAAGCAGAAGCAGTCAGAAAGGGGAACAGAAGCAAGAGAGATGTTGTTCTAGTACCCAGGGAAGGAACAAAAATTGGCCAGGGGTAGTGTAGGGGCAGAGTGATGGCCTGGGGTGGTGGATAAAGACCTAAAGTGAGGGGCTGGGGATTTAGCTCAGTGGCATAAGTGCCTGCCTTGCAAGCAGGCAGTCGTGAGTTTGATCCCCAGTACTGATAAAAAAGGAAAAAGAAAAAAAAAAAGACCTAAAGTGGGTGACAGAGGATTCTAGGGGTGCATTTCAGACAGAACTCCTGGGCAGGTCACTTTCCCTCTTTGAACCTCAAGTCCCTTATCTGCAAAACAAATCCATGGCAGACTCTAGTAAGATGGACTAAGAGACCTGTGGCACCCTGACAAGGTCACTAGTGGCCTTCCAGCTGTTTTGAGATACTCAAAGCACTGAGAGCTAACCTTTACTGGGCACCTACTATATGCCAGGCAACCCCCTCCCTTTTCTGTGCTCCTGGAGCCCAGACAGTGAAGCAGGTATTTGGGCCTGTTTTTACAGGTGAGGAAACTGAGTCTTGGCTTGTGAGGAGACTGCCCAGGAGGCTGAGTTGGGGACTGAAGAAAGAGTACCTGATTCTTGCCTGCCCTTCCCAACAGGTGGTACTTTGGAAAGATCGGGAGGAAGGATGCAGAGAGGCAGCTGCTCTCACCAGGCAACCCCCAGGGTGCCTTCCTCATCCGGGAGAGTGAGACCACCAAAGGTGGGGGCAGGCCCAGCCATCTGGGTGGGCTTAAGGTTGGTAGGGGGTTGACTGAGTAGGGTCAAAACTGGAATCAACTGAAGGGACAGAACTCAGTCTGGTTCTGGATTCCAAAGATGTGACCTTCAGACTTCAGAGCTTCCAGCTTGTGAGAGGGGTCTCTTCCAGCTACCACAATGAGAGAGGGGGACAGTGGACTCAAAGCAACTCTTCCCCACAGGTGCCTACTCCCTGTCCATCCGTGATTGGGACCAGACAAGAGGCGATCATGTAAAGCATTACAAGATCCGTAAGCTGGACACGGGTGGCTTCTACATCACCACACGGGCCCAATTCGATTCGGTGCAGGAGCTGGTGCAGCACTACATGGGTGAGGCAGGCTTCAGATCCCTGAGTGTACTCACTGATGTGTTGATCCCCACTGGGGAGGCTGAGGCCCAAAGAAGGGAAAGGTTCCCCAAAATGGTGGTGCCAGAACCAAGTAGGAAGGTTCCCAAACCTGGATCATGCTCTGTAGAGTCCAGAGGAAACTGAGGCGGGAAGCAGCCCACAGCCAAGTAGCGCCCCCTAGCGTGTGAGTAGAAAGTTGACCAGAATCTGGAAAGTTGAGTAGCAGCTATCTGGAAAGCTCCACTAAAAGGCCAGGACAGGGAGGCCACCACCGGAGGGTGCTGATGGAGGCACATTGGTGAGGAACTCCAGATGCTACATGGAGTTTGAATGTCAGGCGGCAAGGATGAGTGAGGGATCCATTAAGGGGTAGTGGCCATTGTTCAGCTGAGATGATGGTGGCCAGATTAAATCAATGGCAGTTGAGAAAGACAGAAGTAGCCGTTCTGAAGCTAAGTAGGAGCAGCATGAACCTAACTTGATGAAGCAGGGATTAAGAAGAAGTAAGAGTCTATGACCGGGCTTCCATCTTGATTGGTTAAACCAAGGACAGAGTCCATGAAATGCAGTAGGCCTCAGATCTACAACATTGCCTGCAATCCCAGGTCCATTTCCACCTGTTGGGATCCTGCCTTATCTTTAAAGACCCAGCCAGAGGCCACCTCTTATCAGAAGGCCACAGTATGTGTAGGAATCATCTCTCCTTCAGGGTGCCACCTCCTTTCCTGGGCACCAGCATGTTCCCTACTGCTGGCCAGTAACTTCACCTGGAGCCTAGTAACTTATACCTGACCTGAGGCCTGGCCTGGGCTTGTTGGGATGAGGAGCGTGTGGGTATCCTAACCCACCTGTGACCTTTCTCCCTCGGCCCACCGCTCAGAGGTGAATGATGGGCTGTGCTACCTGCTCACCGCTGCCTGCACCACCATGAAGCCGCAGACACTGGGCCTGGCCAAGGATGCCTGGGAGATCAGCCGCAGTTCCATCGCTTTGGAGCGCCGGCTGGGCACTGGCTGCTTCGGGGATGTGTGGCTGGGTACGGAGGTGCCAGGATGTTGGGGGGAGCCCTGGGGCAAGGGACTGGGCTGGTGGGAAGCAGGTTTTGACGAAAGGCGACTGCCTGGCAGGCACCTGGAATGGCACCACGAAGGTGGCAGTGAAAACCCTGAAACCGGGCACCATGTCCCCAACGGCCTTCCTGGAGGAGGCGCAGATCATGAAGCTGCTGCGTCACGACAAGCTGGTGCAGCTGTACGCAGTGGTGTCGGAGGAGCCCATTTACATCGTGACCGAATTCATGTGCCACGGTGAGGAGCGGAGCCAGGGAGTGAGCTGTGGGTGGGTGGAGCTACGAGCAAAGTTTAGTTGAGTGGAAGACACACTAGGTGCAGTCTTCACAAAGCGCTAGGATGCGCAAAAGAACTGGATCGCGGTGTGGGCGGGGCCTGGTTAGGGGTCGGGGCGGGGCCTCCGGCGGTGTGGCGGATAATTAGCCGCTCTGCTGGGTTTGGGCAAACCAAGGCAGAATCTGGGATCTGGAGCAGAATCTCAAGTGGGACGCATCCAGAGGGTGAGGAGATGTGGGCAGAGTCGGCGTCCAAGGCGGAGCATGGGCCAGATTGTGAGGAATTGGGGCAATCTGGCGGGATCCTGAGTCGGGGGAGGGGGCAGGAGCAGGCAGTAGGATCTTGCTGATTTTCTGATTTCCTCTCCTCAGGTAGCTTGCTGGAGTTCCTTAAGAACCGGGAGGGCCAGGAATTGAGGCTGCCCCAGTTGGTGGACATGGCATCCCAGGTAAATTGGACCAGCAACCTTTATCTCCCAGGCCTCCTTCCTGTTATCCTTCCTAGAATCTCTCTGCTTGAATCACCTAACCTGTCCCGGGTGTGCGGTCCCTCCCCCTGTACCCGCTGTGACACCTGATACAGGGTACTGCCTGTGTGTGAGTTTCGGCATCCCCACAGGCTGTGGTGCTGTGAGCTCCCAGCTCTCCACACCTTGGCCCCCCGCAGGTAGCTTCGGGCATGGCCTACATGGAGCGCATGAATTACATCCACCGAGACCTGAGGGCTGCCAACATCCTGGTGGGGGAGCAGCTGGTGTGCAAGGTCGCTGACTTCGGACTGGCCCGCCTCATCACGGATGATGAGTACAACCCTCAGCAAGGTACCTGGCTTCACCTCGCCTCCTCAGAGCTTGATTCCTTTCCCACTCTTACTCATCCTGGACCCCAGACTGATGTGTGTAAGAGACAATTCCAAGTTCACATCCCAGCTCTGCCACTTGCTGTCCTTGGTAAGCTGCTTTTTCTAATCTGTAAAATGAAGATACTCAGTATATCAACAGGTATTTATTAAGCACCTACTATGTGTCAGCTATTGGTATGATTCCTTTTTTAAAACTTTTGCAGTCCTGGGGATCAAAGAGGGGACATTCTACCACTGAGCCACAGCTCCAGCCTTTTTATTTTTTGTTTCAAGATAAGTTGTAAGTTGCCCAGGCAAGACTCAAACTTTGCTGTCCTCCTGCTTCACCTTCCTAGTGCTGGGATTACAAGCCTGCATCACTGTGTCTGACTCTGCTATAATTCTTAGAGGTCATAGGGCAGAATAGTATGGATGCTGTAGCCAGATTCCTTGTATCACTCCTAGCCACTTGTTTTGTAAGCCAAGCATGTTACCTTACTTGGTGCTTGCTTTTCCTCACCTGTAAGATGAAAGGTCTAAAAGTGTCTACATCAGGTTGATTTTGTGGGGATTCAGTGAGTTATAGCACCTAAAACAGAGCCTGAGGCCAAGGATATAGTTCAGTGGTACAGCATTTGCCTACCATATACAAAGCTTGTGGCCCAATCCTTAGGCTTCAAAAGAAAAAAATCAGACATATAACAAGTGGTAACTGTACACTAGGTCTTTTCTGTTGTATCGAAAGACCTCTGCCCAGGAGCCTCAAGTTCCACAATCCTTAAATCCCCATTCTTTCAATGCAGCGGTTCCCAGGGACCGACCACATCACCACTAACTTTCCCTTCTTTCTCCTTACCTCTTCAGGGACCAAGTTCCCCATCAAGTGGACAGCCCCAGAGGCCGCTCTCTTTGGCAGATTCACCATCAAGTCTGATGTGTGGTCTTTTGGAATCCTGCTCACTGAAATCATCACCAAAGGCCGAGTCCCGTACCCAGGTGTGTGCAGGGCTGGGGAGTGGTCATGGGGAAGGATTTTTCTGGGGTACCCTTTGTGAGGGGCCAGTCCCCTGACTGATGGAGCCTGATCCCTTAGGCATGATTAACCGGGAAGTGCTGGAACAGGTGGAACGTGGCTACCACATGCCATGTCCGCCAGGCTGTCCAGCATCCCTGTATGAGGCCATGGAACAGACCTGGCGGCTGGACCCAGAGGAAAGACCCACCTTTGAGTTTCTGCAGTCCTTCCTGGAAGACTACTTTACCTCCTCAGAGCCACAGTACCAGCCTGGGGAAGACACATAGCTCAAACAGCCATCAGCCACCTCTCGGGGGTGCCCACCAGCCTTTGCCAGTCCCCAGGACTCTGATACCAAAGTCCCCAGGTATAGAACATGTCAGAGAAGACTGAGTTCTCTGAGCCCAGCTAGGGCAACCCACTCATTTTACACATGGAGGAAATGGAAGCTTATAGGGCCTCTCTCATCCACTCTGCCCCTAAGCATGGCTCGCTTCTCCTCTTCTCGCCTCAGGCCCTCCATCCCTCTAGCCTCTTTCTCCCTGCTTCCCCCAAATGCTTATACCATGTCTAGTTATTTATGAAACTGTATAGCCTTCCTTCACCTATCTCGCTGCATTCCTGCCCTCCTGGCATCCTACTGTGGTCCAGGACACAAGAACTTACCTCTGACTTTCAGTTCTCTGTGTCTGTAAGTTACAAAGATGGGCAGTCTTTGCTGGACTCCTTTCCCGCTAGCTGGAAGCTGTGGTCGGGGCCCAGGTTTGGGTGCAGCACCTTCCTGAATAGTGGTGTGTGTGTGTGTTTATTGATTATGTAAATAAGGAAAATAACAATATAAATCCTTGAACCAGAAAAATTCCCTGAATCTTCCTTTGGGAGGGATGGTGGTTGGTGGGAGGTGAATAGGATAAGTCTGGTTATTGGGAACAGTAGAGAAAGGTAAGAGAGTGCCTAATGCCTACTAAGCACAGGACACAGAAAATATGGAGTTTTAGGATGACACTCCAAAGTCCTACTGGCTGTTTCCATGTGAATTTAGGATGGTTTGAAAGATGGGCCCAAAGACAGGCAAGCAGAGATAAATCAAAATGTCCCCTTCATTGCTGATGTGGCTTTCAGTCTGTGCACAATGGATTTGCTGATTCTTCACCTGATTTCAGCAGATTTGCCAGTCATCACAGGCATGTTGGGACAACCTTTGGGCTCCCTCAGCAGAGGCAGAAGAGATCACAGCTGGCTCTGCAGCTATAAGGTTCCCCAAAAGAGGACACAGGAGGAGGGAGGAAGGGGAGTAGATTTGTCAAGCTTAGTGGACCTCATTAAGGGAGTTCTGCCCCCAGGGAGCTTCTGGAGCAGCCTGGAAGCGGTTTTGTTACAATGACCAGGGGTTCCTACTTGCTGCAGTCAGGTATTCTAAACAACCTGTAATTTCCCACCCTCCTTTAAGAAACCGGAACTCATATGCCTCCATGTGGAAACAAGGGGAGCAGAGAATAAGGATTCCCGCCTCTGTCAGGAAGTGTTTGTTGACCCTGGGACTTGTAAGAGGAGTGAAGAGAGAAGAAACCTGGCAGCTCAGAATCAGTGTTGCCATCCGCAAATGGTTCCTCCGCATCGATTGTGCGGTGGGCCCTTTGCTAAGCAGGAGGCTGAGAACACAGACATGAACAAGATCTGTCCCTGCCTTGGAGGAGTTCGGTTGGGCTGGGGAGGAATAATACTGAGGCTCAGGGGTTATATGATGCAACAGTGCTGTGCATAACATAGCAGGCTTTACGCCAGAGCCCACCGTCTCCCCACTCAACCTCATTCCCTCCAGGCTTTGAGAAGAGAGTGTATCTACTGTATAAATGTGTGAGCATGCATACGCACGTGCACCTGTGTGTGTGTGTGTGACCATGCATGTGTGGTGTGCACATGCACGCGCACGCGTATGTGTGTGTGTTGTGTTCCTCATCTTTGTAGTAGTGGCAGAAAGTATTGGCAGAAAGATTCCCTGGGAATCCTCTCAGATTGAGAGGTCTTTGGAAAAGGCAATAAGGCAGTTAGTACAGGCTGAGGGTTCCCTGTGCCCAGCCTTGTGCTGGAGGCTGTTAAAATGGGAGCAAAAGACGGAGACTGCAAGGAGCTGCTCAGATTGGTTACTGTAGGATGGGAGCCTTGGCCCTGCAAATTCTCAGGAGCCAAAGCTTCCCAGGAGCCATGGTTTCTGATCAAGCAAACTTACAAGAGCCTGTGGGATACTTTAGAGACCTGCCATGGAGTTCGTAGAAAAGAGCACAGCTCTTATAGTGCTTGGTGTGGATACCATTTTTACTATACACTGGCTGTGAGATTTTTGTTAGTTATTAATCTCTCCAAGCCTCAATGTGCTCATCTGTGAAGTAGCAATAAAATGCTCAGTACATGTTAGCTCTTATTGTCACTGCTATTTACAAAGCGTTTGAGCCATTTCACCCTCCCAGAACCCACTGAAAGAGAAAGCTGTTCTGCCTTCATTTTGCTGATAACAAAGCTGAGGCACAGTGAGATAAGTGCACATTTTCAAGGTTTACAGGGCATACATGGCAGCACAGGGGCTTAAACCAAATTCAGCCCCCAAATCAGTGCTCTTCATCACTGTAGCCTTTTCCTGGAAGCAGAATTGTGTGTGTGTGTGTGTGTGTGGTACTGGGAATCGAACTCAGAACCTGTGCTTGCCAGGAAGGCGATTGTGCCACTGAGCTATACCCCAGGCCAGGCAAAACATTCTTGTCTGCCTTCTCGGGCTCCGCCTGCTATGTGGATGCCCAGGTGGTCTCAGTGAAGTGCAGATGGAAGTAAATCATGTGGGTTCAGTGGGCTCCTCACTGCTCCTCAGAAGACCAGCACTTCTCTGTGTCTGCTGGCTCCCCATCTCTCCCTCTGGAACAGCTGAATGAATTTCCCTTGCACCCCATTTCAGTGTGGCCTTCTGTTCCCTTCAGATAGAGCACAATGCAATTGATTAGGCTTCCGCTTTCTCAATTTCAATCACATCCTTGCCCTGCCTCCCTGAGATTACAGGCGGGTCACCTTGATTGCGGTTTGCAGGTTTGCACTGTTCACAAAACTCTTCAGTCGTTTACAAAACCATCTCTCGCCTCATTCACTCCCCCACCTGGCTCTTCTCCTTCTTGATGCATGGATTTTACTGGCTTAAGACTCAGAGGGCAATTTGATTTCCAAGTTCATGCTTGGGGAGGAGGACATCTAATTGACTAATGCTGGGTATTTCACATGCATGGTCTAATTTGATCCTCACCATGAGGCAATGCAGAAGTGAAATTATCAGCATCTTACAAAAAAGGAAATGAAGACTCTGAGAGGTTCTGCCACTTGCCCAAGGTCGTACAGCTGGTTCATAGAGCCAGGGTTTGAACTCATGAAGACTCATGTGTCACACACTGTCATACTCCTTTACTTGATAAAACAGCATGAGAAAGTATAACACTGACCTGGAACCAAGCCCAGGGAGGACATATTACAAGTAGAAGCTCAAGGTAGCACATACATTGAGTATCATTCTCATAAAATCTACATCTTTTATTAATTTCAAACACATTAACTGATGTATTCTATAGGCTGGTCCTGTCCAGGAGGCAAAACAACAAACAAAGAGCTTAGCATGTTGGCACATGCCTCTAATCCAAGCATTTGGGAGACTAAGGCAGGAGGATTGCCGACATGGAGGTCAAAATCAGCATAGAGGACATAGTGAGAACCTGCCTAACAATACAGTAAGCAGGGCCAGGGATATAGCTCAGCGGCACAGCACCTGCCTGGTAAATATGAGGTCACGAGTTTGATTTCCGGTACCAAAAGAAAAAAAAGTAAGCAATTACAACACTTAGGGGTAATATCAGCCAGAGAGCTGAGGGCGGTTTCTTGGAGTATGCAAAAGAAGTCTGCCTGATGAAGCAACCCAAGAGTAAGGCCATCTCTGTCTCAGAGAACAGGATGTGCAAAGGTCAACTGGACGGTACAGCAGGCAGAATCAGGAAAGTGTAAATAATCATGTACGAGAGGATTGAGGGTACAGATGAGGCATGAAGAAGGTCAAAAGAGGGCTGGGGATTTAGCTCAGTAGCTTAAGTGCTTGTCTGGCAAGTGTGAGGTCCTGAGTTCGATCCCCAGTACCAAAAAAAAAAGGTCAAAGATGAGAAGCTAGAGTAAAAGGGAGTATGTGGCCTCTGAGTTGTGAGGAAAAGTCAGAAGGAAGAAATTGAGTGGTGTGGGAGTCCAACATGGGGTGAATCCGGATAAGTGCTCTATGCTGAGCTGGATAGGTCTTCTACCCCTCCATGACTGTCTCCCAGGTACAGAATAGAAGTCTCCCTCCCGTTCTCTTCCCTCCTATCATCTATTACCTTCATCACCTACAAGGTAGTCCTGCAGCGATGTTAACACCCCCTCTAGTGGACGCTCTCGACAGTACATCCAAAAGCGCAGAAAACTTGCCCCTGAGACCCGGGCACCAAATCCTGGTTGTGATGGGGCATGCCTCTAATCCCAACACTTGGGAGACTGAGGCCTGGGAAGCGAGTTCAAGGCCAGCCAGGGTTACAAAGTGAGTTTAAGGCCAGCCTGAACTGCAAAGCAAGACCCTGTCTCAAAAAGACAGAAAGAGAAAGACAAGTCCCATCCCAGGATGAGAGAGAGCGAATTCCCTGCTCCCAGAGAGAGAGTTTAATGAGATGGGTACTCAGGGGACAGACACTGTGAGAAAAATGATAATACAGGGGATGTGGGAGAGCAGGGGCGGGCAGGAGTAAGTCTGAGAACTTTGAAAAGAGGTTGATTTGCTAGAAACAAACACACCAAAACAAAACAAAACAAAACAAAAGTAAAAAGAAAACATTATTTTGAGGTCAGCTTGAACAATTTAATGATGCCTTGTAGAAAAAAAAGAACTGGTCCTGGTGGTGCATACTTGTAATCCCAGCACTCAGCTCTTTGAGAGGCTGAGGCAGGAGGATTATAAATTGAAGGACATCCTGGGCCAACTAGTGAGACCCTCTGTCAAAATTTAAAAATGAAAAGGGTGTAGTTCAACACGAAGCCCTGAGTTCAATGCCCAGTACTGACAGAGAGACAGAGAGAGAGAGAGAGTCAGAGACAGAGACAGAGATGGAGAGACAGAAAGAAAGAGAAAAACTACATTCCAGATCAGACAGAATTAAGTGAGCTCAGAGGCAGGAAATGGGACCATAGAGAGTTACAATTTGATAGATATGACTGGAGTATAAAATCCAAGGGGACAGCGAAAGGGAAATAAAAAGAATTAAGATGCGTTATGCACATGTGCCAACTCCTCATGATGAATGTAAACATCATGTACTGCAAACATGTAACGTACTAATAAAAATAAAAAATTTAAAAGTTTTTGAGGACAGCCTCAGGCATGGTCGCTCACACCTGTGATGCCAGCACACTGGGAGTTTGAAGCAGGAGGATTGGCAGTTCAAGCCTAGCTTGGGCAATTTACAACTAAGTGAGAGAACTTGTCTCAAAATAAAATAAAAAAGAGCTGGGGATGTAGCTCAATGTAAAGGCCCTGGGTTCAATCCCCAGGACGAAAACAAAAACAAAAACTCTGAAGGGGAAGTGGCTAAGAATAAAGCTAGTGATAGAGGAAAGGAGCCTGGTTAGTGGTGCACTTGGCTGCCACGCTAAGCCTTGGACAGCTGGAAGCCACTGTAGGGTTTGAACAGACGAGTAACAAGGTCACACTCACTTTTCAGAAGGAAACTTCCGGTGACTAAAATGAAGCAAGGATAAGTGAAGAGGCAAGAGACTACATCCACCCTCTTGGACACAGCAATTTACACTAGGTCA